GGAAAGATGATGGGACAAATAGGGAGAAAAACAAAACAATGTACGTAGCTGATTTATATATTTTTTCCAAAACTATTAACATCACTGTTTGTTGCACGCGGGTCTAATTGTATATTCTTGATTTATTTATTTTTTTAAATATTCTGAATCATCGATATTTTCATCATCCCAACCATTATCTTTAATCATATGTACAAGTTCAATTATATATTTTCCTTCTTTATATTTTTGACTTGATTCAAAAGCATGTTCCTTGAACAAAAATATAATAATAAGTTTGTTTTTTTATTATAAATATAAAGAAAGAAAAAGCTAAAAGATATTTACATATTTCCAGCCAAGTAATGTTTTGCAGCAATCACAATATATATCAGCTACTTCATGAAGACCCGTAAGCAATACTCGTTCTTCAGCTGCACTTGTATTTACATTAACACTTGAAAAGAAAAGGCCAAAATAGAAAAAAAGAATTTCAAATATTTAAAAAAATTACATACACCGAATTGAATAGATACGCTCTCCCTTGACTACCTTGAAATGACTAAAAAGAAAACAAAATAATAATATGAGAAAATTTAGTTTATTTTTTTTTGTATTTATACTTTAGAAATCAGTTCATCATGACTTGCTAATTGAGCCCGACAATGAAGACATGAATAAATTCGATGGGTTTTAGTTGGCAAATAAAATTGAAATAATTTGCCCAATGTTTTCGAACCGCCATGATGATTTTTTTTCACCATCTTTCGGCGAATCTATATCAGACAATAGACAAATTAAAATAAAATAAAAATAAAAATAAAAATTTCATTATTTTATCTATGGTTAAAAACTCACAGAAGAGAAGAAAAAAGAGACATGACAATCTATGAACATGATCATCATAAAAGAGAAAGACGAAGAAGACACGAAGACCATGTGTTTTTTTTCCTCTATTAATTCATTCTTCTGTATAGTTACATACTGTTCGTCTTGACTTGCATTTTCTTCATTCTGCTTTATAGAACAATGACATAGTCTATCAAGAAAAGAAGTTGAATACTCTAAGGGAATATGAATAACTTGTGATTGATTAAAAGAATAGACAACCATGAAAAATAAATATATATTTATACAAGGCTACTCTATATCCCTTTCTTCCTGTATTAGTCTTTTTTTACTAATTCCTCAACCTTATCATGTACATATAAATCTTATCGATTATATTTTTCTTTTGACTTCGTTATTTTTTTCACACATTTTTATATTCACTCATGAAAAGTATCATCAACAGTTGAAGACAAGACACAACCACTTATCTATCTGTCTACTCTCTCTCCTCCTCCAAATCATTATAATAAACAACTTGAATTTAATGACCCTTATATATATGTCACAACTGTAAAGATCTAATCGATCACTGAACTCTCATATAAGCTAAAGAAAATGATTAGCAATAAAACTTGATTGAGCGTATCCAATTTGGTCTCTTTCTTTTTTCTATTAACTACTATTCCTGATCTAGATTTGTACTTCTTGCGTAATCGAACAAATACAGATGTATGTTCATCAGTATGGCGCATGCAAAAATTATTATAAATATATTATATATATATATATGTATTTGTTGTGTCTCCTTACCCTTCTTTAATCCGATAATGATGAGCAGCTTGCATAACTCTTCTAGTAAATTTGACAATGTAATTAAAAAAAAACTTTATAAAGGTTGCATCTTCATGTTTGTTAATCACTTGTTCATCAGCTCATTGAAGGACAATGCCGTCTAGCAATGGTGATCTACACATGCACGACATTTACTCAAACTTTTGATAAGACAATACAACAAAACTGAATAAGAATAACTCGATCGACTAGTCAAGCAGGGGGCTGAATACACAAACGTATCACTGACGCGACAGAGATATTTATCTATTCTTTCTTCTCAATGAAACATTATCAACACTCTTGTCAAAGATTGAACAAATGAATCTATATAATTAAACGTAGATGTGTGAAAATAACTTACAATAGATAGAAATGTCCAGCAGCTTGCCACGCCGATTGTTAAAAATGAAAACTTTAATTAACACACGAAAAAAAACTTCGTTGCGATAACGAACACAATCCTAGAAAAGACAAATTCAAGGATGTATACAGATAATGTTTTAATAAAAATTAAATATTTGTATTAAGTCTTTTATATGAATGTACACATATATATATTACATCATAAATCAATGATAATTCAAATGATATATATTTGACGATGCAAGTAGTACTATATTCTTTTTCTTTTCCTCTTCTATACCTTCTCCGGAGACAATATGACCGCAACCGACAGACAAGCAAATTAATGGACATGAGGCGAGACAAACCTTGATGTAGTTGCAATATAAGCCTAGTTTTATTTTTCCGCTATAGTTTCGTCTAGGGTAGTTTTTCTTCTTCTTCGTACGTAAAACACTAACAACAAACTAATGTTTCCCTATAGTAAAATGATAGCCGCTATGATAGAATATATTCTATCTTTTTATTTCCGCTTCATGTCATGGGACATTTCGGACGATGACTTGCATTATGTTGTTCTACATAACTAACTTTTGTCAACGAATAATGTAATGTGCATAAAATGGGGACCGTGATTTATGATGAATGAAAAATAGTAGGATTTCCGGAGGGTTAAAAGATCCTAATGTATTGCTTTTTTTCTTCCTAAGTATCTTTCTGTGTTTTTTTCTTTTCTATGAAAAAAAAAGATGCCTAGTAATTCTGATAAATATGTTAAAACACATGCCATTGATTATGATTAACGAAAAGATGAAGACGTCAACAATCTAGTAGAAGTTAGGACATACAAATAAGTAGGCGATAGAATGGGATTGACACTGTTCTCCATACTGTATGTGTATATTTACATGGCTCGATTTCCCTCCTCTTATTCTACTTCTTTTCTTTGACTTGTCTCCTTCTCTGCGTTAGGTCCCTTTTTTTTTCACCTCTTCGAATAACTTTTTTTCTTTTTTTTCATCTATATGACACAAGGCAGAATAGGAGTCAATAGAGAACCGATATACACTATGGTCTTTTATCATAACTATAGCTACGATTATAAGTAGATGCTTCTGTTTCTATGCTCTTTTAATAATACAGCTATAAATAGAAGCATATGGAATTTTTGTTATTTAAAGATAATTTCAATAAATCAAGGTCAATGCAAAACAGTTCTTTTTTTCTTTTTTGTAATACTAAAAAGCAGCTGTTCAAAAGTGATAATTAAGTCATCACTGAGAATACTATATGTGTGACGTTGCCAACTTTTCTATTTTTTTTTTCGAGTGCTCTACATATATTGAATTGACAATGACACAAATGCATTTTTTATACAGATGAAACTGAAATGATTGACGTTGTTTAATAAAATTCACTTGTGAACAATAACTTATAACTCAAGTCAAGAAACAGAACAATTACCTTCTTCGTACGAAATCGTACTTGTAGTTTGAAAAAATGGTATAGATTGACAAATGGGCAGAGAATAAAAAAGAAAATAATTAGGATTGTTGTGCTATTTTCCTCTCTTGCTTCGTATTTTTTTATTTTTCTTAGTTGCCGTCAATATCGCTGTTTTTGTTAGATTTCTTGTTGTTATTACGGATGATGGCCAAATCTTGTCGCGTTGTTGTGTTTCTGTTTCTGTTGTTGAGAAGAGAAAAGGGTTGCTTGAGCATCTGAAACGCAAAAAAAAACAACATCCTCCGCCTGACGTTCGTCTCGCAAAAAACTGCGCCACTCACATAGTGAAAAAAAAATGCGCCTTATACACATAGCCCGATCAGCTGCTGCTATTTTTCTCTATCGTCTTTTCATCCTGTCTTTCTTTTTCCTCGTCTCTTTCTTTCTTTCTTTCTTTCTCTTCTGCTTTGCATCTTCTACTACTACCCTACTCATGTGATGACGCTCACGAGCATTCGTAACCCTTATTGTTGCGTTGTTTTATATGACGATATTGATAGTGATCACAAAAAATAAACGAAAAAGCTAAAAGAACAAATAAAAGAAGTCATCTGTCAGTTGTGAATATACGCAACTTATTTGAATGAAATATTTTACGTTTATTACTATTCGAATATACTTTAAATGAATAGGTTTAATGTGTCACAAATGTATATAATTAACGAGCATGTTTATAAGCAAACTAATGGATGATGAACGTCTCATACCAACTTGAGACGTTTAACGCATTGAAAATTAGTCAAGCGATAATGAAACAGTTTTAAAACATTATTTATACAAACTCAATCATTCTCAATTTAATTCTTGCCCTTTATATAAATCCAATATAAACACCTATGTATAGGTGATATATATAAATATACATGTATTTTTTGATAAGAGTGCTATTTGTTCACATTAAAATCGAACATCGAACGAGTATTATGATGAGACAATAAGCATACCTATACAGTATATATGTAAAATCATGCTTCAATTCATTTTACATCATCATATGTGTAGCCTTTTGTCTATTGTTGATGTTCGTACACATACATATATACAACAAATAATTATGTGATGGGACAAAATATATATGTATATATATATGTATATAGATGATGTAATTGACAATATGTTCTTTATATAGTTTTTTTTTTCACGCAGATATGATTAGTGAACGAGATAAGACGGAGAAATGTATGTTTCACATTGACTTTCGTTTTGATATTCTGTACAAGTAATAATGATGTGCATATGTATATAATATGAAATTTATCTGTTAATGGAAAAATAAGTTTTCGAAGGATAGAGTTAAATCTATCTAATTCTTATCATAGAAGGTTACGTGATAAAATATCGTTAAATAAATATACTTCATAATTTACAAGAAAAGAAAAAAAAAAAAGAAAAAAAAACCAATCATGCATAAAAATTATATGATTCAATCAGAGTGTTATATTGCATAAATGTTATTCTGTTACCGATGGTGTCGTGGGCGTTCAAGATTATTTATTCGATATTGCTATATGTTTATTTTTTCATTTTTGATTGGACTTAGTTGGTCTATCTTTAGAATTGTTTTTTCTGATCGAAATGATAATGGTTTCGAAGAACAGAGGTCACCATTGATCTTTTGTTTTGTACTTAGTGCAAATGATCGTCATTTAACATCATCACAAGCAATTCTATATAGTTGGGGTAAACGATGTGATCGATTTTATTTTGTTACACGTCTCCAAAATACTAGCATTCAATTAATGATGTTAGAACATTTTGAAAACACAAGTGATGTAAAATCAACTACAATAACTCAAAATACATTCGATGTTCTTTCATATATTCAAGAAGCAACACTGTTTTCAACGTATCGATGGTTTTTACGCGCAAGTGATGATTCATTTGTTATTATACCGAATCTTCGAAGACTTGTTAGTCAATTAGATAATGAAGACATATATCGTCCATTAGCTTATGTTGGTGATGTTGAACAAATGTATGAAAAATATAATATAGCAACAACTGGATCAGTTATGTTAATTAATCGTTTGGCAATAAATCGTTTAACAACAGGTGATCTCGAAGATGATGACAATGAGTTCGAAAGACAAAAATGTCTAACAGATATGGTCTATGATCATGAATTTGTTAGATGTATGAGAAAAAGTACAATTATAGTAAATCCTATGAATGATAATTTGATTCTTTCGCAAAATTTATCAACTTACAAAATGGATAAACGATTAAAGGTAAAATAGAAATAGGAAAAATAATCTTCTAACATATGCTTACGGCCATACCACGTTGAATACACCAGTTCTCGTCCGATCACTGAAGTTAAGCAACGTCGGGCTCGGTTAGTACTTGGATGGGTGACCGCCTGGGAATACCGAGTGTCGTAAGCTTTTTGTTTTTTTGCTTGATATCTTTCTTTTATTTTTATTATTACTAAATCAACTATTTTTTTATGATAGGGTACATGTTGCAGTCCAAATACAGTTGCTTTTCGTTCAAGCAATGAAACAGACATGTATAAATTTGAATTTCTTTATCATAGACTTGATCCATTAACAAAAATAAATAAATAATGATCATGGTTTTTTTTTTTTATTGTATTTATACGAAAAGAAAACAAAGCAATAGAAGATAAGACACAATAGCAAGATAGTTATTGCACTGTTGAATAGTCTATGAAATGTTAATTATTTATCATTTGATTTTTTGTATGTAGCTATTGGTGGTAATGTTGGTACAGATTGTAATCGAGATGGAAGTTTTGGATTTTGTTGATGATTTTTAGATGGATTATGTAAATTTATGTTATACTTTGTAGGATGTGATGTCGATCGATTAGCTGTTCGGCTTGGCGGAGTAATAGACTATAGAATATAAGACAATAAATAAATAGAAAAGAGAAAGAGATTTTCTACTTACAGGAATATGCCATGATGGTTTTGACTGTTGTTGAAGATATCTTTGATAATGTGGATCATAAAAATAAACAGACTGTGTTACCGGAGATGCTTTATACCAATGAGCAGGTTTATTGTATTCACGTAAAATTCGTGCATAATCTCTTCCATGTTTTCGTTGAATTTGATCTTGAACAAGTTGTGCTTGTAATTTATCGATATAATGCTGTGTATTTTCATTAATATGAGTATCCTTTGTTGTTTCTTCAGGTGTATTCATATCTAAAGTTGTCGTCATAATTTCTTTTTCTGTTAGAAGAAATAAAAATACCAAGATTCTTTAAACGACGATAGTGACAGCTACATCATCTTATAATTGCGGATGTTGCTTTTTATGTCTCCCACTCATAGTTTTACAATCCTCATGACGTTAGTAAGAAAAAAATAATGAAATAAAATAAAAGAGAGACAGTTTAAATGTGGAAAAAAGTAAGAAGAGAAAAAAGGTATCTGATAAGAATGAAAAAAACGATGATTTAAGTCTTATATTACTAAAAAACAAATGAAGCTGAGATGATTCAAATAAAACTATAAATTTGATATTGAACAATTAATGTTGGCGTAGAAACGAATAAATTCTGATTATTGCTGTTTTTTATCGAGTAACAACATCTTTATTCGTATTTTTTCTCCGATCAAAATAAAAACGTGCGGTACATGAATGGAATTTATCATATAAAGAAAGAAAAATCAACGTTCTACTACCTTACGCCTTGTCAAAGATTAAAATGCAATCGATAGACATACACTTGAAAAGAAAGTGTTTTTTTTTTTTTTTTTTTTTTTTTCGATATGAAAAAAGAAAATAATTCTTGTAAAGACATTTAATGAAAAATAAGAATGTCACAATAATCAATAACTCATATGAGAAATTTATTACAAGAAGTATGTTTAATAATGTATTAGTTATCAACAAATTTCATTGAAACATAAACTTAGCATTTTTACTTTCATATGATCGATGAACACTTGCAATGAGAATATTTTTCTTGCAAAGGAAATGAGGAAAAAAATAATATATCAAATGAGAATAATGTTTTTTTTTTTTACTTGGCTACAACGTCTATACTTATATTGAATAAAACATAGACCATGCCGAATTTAATTTTCAACATAGATCATTATCATATTGATAATGTTTTAAATCAAGCTGATCGGTTTTTTTTTTCATTTATTAATTTTGATTTTTCCATCTTCAAAAAAGCATTCTTTTCACCAAAGAACTTTAATTATTTTCAGATGTTAACTAGCCACATTCATTCATAGTGTATAAAAAGTAAGTAATTTAAGTTTTGAGATAGATAACAGAGTTCGTGACAGCGTAAATACTTTTACCCTACGCTGTCCTGCAGAACGCAGCAGGAGGTGACACGACTTTCTAAAAAGTCTTTGTACTCGATTAATGAAAATAGTCACACGTCATCACATAATCATTGTGCAATCAAAACCTTTCATTGCTTCACTTCCAAGTTTTATTTGATATGAAAATAATGATTCAGATTTTTCTAATGGTTTTTCATTTTTAATACATACACATACTCATTCAAATGATTTGTAACACTTGAGAAATCATGATTAAAATTTTTTTTTCTTTTAAATATAGCAACTCATATAGCTTTGAGTTTGTTTTCATTCTTGGAAATCCAAACGCTTTTCAAAATATAGCTTTAAGCTCACTGCCTCGTTACGGGTTATGTGATACTTGTTAGCCTCATTTTTCAACAAATGCGTCATTTTCTTAGAAAAGTATGTCAAAGTTGTGGATGCCACTGGGCCAACAGGACGAGTAATTTAACTTGAAGGTGAACTAATTTCCGAAGAAGACATGCTTGAAAATAATGGTAATAAAGTAGATATAGTAACTGAGCCTTTATTTGGAATCGTATTTTTTCCACTAGAATAGATTCAAATCTTTACTTAATTCGCATGAAAATATTATTACTGAATGTATAATTCAATCGATATTCTGAAGTAGGATTATTTTTTCTGCAAAGAATAATTGATAGTACAACCTTTCATGTGTGTTATTTCGAGTAAAAATCGACAAATTTTGGTACAATATTTTCGATGATAGAACAGATTACTTCTAGTGAAATTAATAAACAAAAATGAGCAATTAGAATGAAAATATTTCTTGATTTTCATTTAAAATAATTAGAAAAGAAATTATGAATAATTTTAATCGAGTGTCTATTTTATCAATGAAATTTCGATAACATTTATCTAGAATTTGATTCATATATTACATTTTTATCAAATAAATATGAAAATCACTAAATAAATAGAATATTTTTCAACAGTGAATACCATTTTCTTCACAACGCTTACCAACACATTAAATTTCTATTCTAAAGAATAAAAACATGATAATTTCACATTATTGATATATATTTAAGAGTGTAATTTTATGATTGATCACTTAAATAAATTACTAGAGACCTATGATAAATGATCACATATGAATATAAATTGCCTATTTATTCAAATAATGATCAGAATCACATAGCAAGTAGTCATTATATTTTTCTTCATTAGAGATTTGCGGGACCGGAACCAGAAAAATCTAGTCATGCACATCGCTATTCTTGACTTCCGTTTAGTAACTAACTACCCGTCTTCTTTTTGCTGTTACATTTTCAGAGAATATCTTTTTTTAATTCTAGGAAAATCTTGTTTTTTAAATTTAACCAATGACTTTATTCAGCTAACATTAAATGCGAAATTTTCATCGATGATTAATTTTAAATCAATTCTATAAAAAAGATAACATCATATTGAACTAATATTATTGTTTTTCATTGCCGTCTATTGATTATCTCTAGTCTTTATTTTTAATCTTTTCTCTCAATATTATTTAATTCTCCTATGAAATCATAAGGAGATTGATGTCATCACATTGTCACATAAAGAATTAAAAAAATATTTCTGATAGTTATACTTAAATTTAAATACAATAAAAAGAAGAGGAATATTTATTTATCTATCTTGTTGTTGATGTATGATATAAAATCGATTGACTAACAATAGGTTTTAATAATACATAAGCATCGGATGCATAAGTTTGTGAACTAGACGATTGAATAAACATTTGATTAAGAAGTTTTTGTTTTAATTTTATATCACATCGTTCATTTCCATCATTATGATTATTTGATGTTATTGGTAAATTTGATATTTGTTTCATATGTTTAGCAAATAAATTTGTTACACCAGCAAGCATACTTGAAAAATCTTGTTGTTGTTTTTGATAAATGGCTAATAATTCAATATCAATTGAAAATGATGTTAAACTTTTACAACCCATTAGAAATAATTGAGCTGTTTTATGATAATATTCAATAATTGCTGCACATAGAATTGCTGATGAATTAATAGCTTCATCAAATAATGTCTAAATAGATACATAATGATTCTGTAAAGTATAATCTAAAAGAAGTGTTGAAATACAAGAGTGAATATTTGTCGCAAGACAGGCGGACATGTGACTTTGTTGCTCAGAAACAGATTTCTTTGCTAAGAAATCCTTGGATATGATGCAGAAAAGCATTTTTTAAGCAAATTGTTTTATGTCATATGTCATTCAACAGTTTATTGCACTGATTTCGAATACACAATTTTTGTCAATTAAATATCTTTGCAAAGCCAAAAAACTGAAAAACCTAGTTTGTTTTTGGAAACCCATTGTGCATTTCCAGTAATGTTTGTGCTATGGGACGACAATATAGAAAAAATTTTTTTTTATTATTTTATAGAGTTCGCCTTAGAAATTCAGATAATATGTTTGATTTGTCCATAGAATAGTTTAATTTTGTCAGATATCAATTTTTCCGATGACATCATGACTTTCAAGCTGTTTTTTTAGACAAATGATGTTTCAGTTTCTTTTAGAGTTGTAACAAATTTATATCATTAGATATACTATATTTCGAGATATGTTTCTCTATATTTAAATCTTGAAAAAGCATGATTGTCATTTTAGCCAACTACCCTTCTAAATGTGCACTATACCTCTCCTGCATATCATGAGAGAAACTTATCAAAGATAATCTTAGACCACAGCAGACGCTGATATATGATCAAGATCATATATAAATAGTATCTCATTACAGTATATTAACTACTTCCTGATTGCATTCCCAGAGGACTATCTACAAGGATGGCGACAAATATGTCCCAAAATAGATAGAGTGAAACAAGCCCTCGGTGCCTAGTAACAGTGGCTATTATGGTTTCCATTTTTAATTCTATGAGAGTTTGTGCTAACAAGTTTCCAAATAGAAATAGAATCTTTCATTTTTTTTTCTTACTTTTTGATCAATTTCTGTATCCATCCATTCCCATTCTTTAATAAATTGATTAGCTGATTCATAAACTTCAAGTAATTTATCAACAGATACTGTTGAACGTAATTGTGTTTGATATGCAGTAAATTTTTGTGATAAGATATCTAAAGTTGGTATATCATCCTCATTATTATCATTAATTTTTAAAGAATTCAATGTCAATTCATCATCATCATTTATTTGAAAATATGTTGAAATCTCGTCAAATAATTTTTCATTTCCATAACTCATACTTTGTATCATCGTTGCAGATTGATTTGATAATAATTCAAGTGCTTCAAAATGCGCAAGACCTAAAATAATAAAAAGGAAAATAAAAAGCAAGATATGTTTTAGTCTATTTAACCTTGATGTTTTTCAAATAAATGAAAAAATGATACAGGTTCATTTTTTTCTGACGTTGATTTCATTTCTTTTTCATGTTGTGCTTCACGAATTATCTAATAAATGCAACAAGAAAAGATTTCATAAAAAAAAATAACTTAAAGATAAAAAAGCAAACTTCGGATAATGTTGGACGATTTTGGTTGCTTAATAAACGTCGTGTTCCTTTCAAATCTGGATCAGCTTCATTAATAACCTTTTAATATATTAATTATCTTTATACATCGAAAAAAGCAGAGAATTTATTATTTATACATACATCAAAAGTTTTTTTACCAACAGTTTCAAGAACATCAAGACTTCCTGAGACAACTTTCATACCCTATAAAAAAAAATATGTAATTCCCCTGCTTGTAAAGATATTTCAAATAGAAATTCTCGCAAACTGTTATATTTCAATAAACAAAAAAAAAAAAAACAAATCAGCAATTATTGAATTATTAAATATTACGATTATATTAGAACTTGGTAGATGCAATTCGAAGAATTTTCTAGTACTCTTAATCTCGAA